TATATATATATATATATATATATATATATATATATATGACAATTAGGGCTGATATTTCAAAATGTATAATGTTTTTATGCCCCAAATCAATATTTTTTATCTTTTTTCTACTTTACCGTTAAAAGAACAACCACACCTCTGACGTTGATTTTCTCTCTCAATGAAACACTCCAAAATGAGGATGTCAGATACCATAAGTTTTATTTAAAGCAATTTTTGACCAAGGAATGAGTGCAGATCTAATACCATTAGGTGTCAGATTTATCAAAAGCGTGAGTGCATGCTCCTTCTGTGCTTATTGTGTCTTGCGATTCTCTCCTACTCATGTGTGTTGATGTTTCTGTGCTCTCATGTCAACTTATGTCACTTTGAGGTTAAAACCAACGTTATACAGTAAACTGCCTGTGATATCTGCCTAGTTTTAACAGTCGAATGATTAATATTATTGCTGATGCATTGAACATCCCTTCCTATCGGCGTAGAACATTTTGACTACTGCCACATGTGGATGGAGGGGATTTTGAAATGCTGATTTATAAGCTGCTATTTAAGTGGCTCAGATATTTGAAAAAATGATCTCTTTAGTTTAGCATATTTGCTACACATGCGGGTGAACAGATTAAAAACTTTTTGATGGTCTTGCTGATTTTAGTACTGTAAATGTTTTTATTTTTACTATTGAAGGGTTCAAACAAAAAGTACAAAACTCAGTAAAGAAGAGTATTTTCTTATGTTTTTGATCTCAAACATGCAACTTCTTAAGCGGTCTGGCTGCTGACTACGCAAGATCTGTCTGTGAGAGTTTGTGCATTAGAAGTGTCCTCATCTCTCAGCCTCTGGTTTTAAAGTTTCTTTTGTAATAGGATCATTCCACGCTCAGCACAGTCTTATTTTTTTTATTTTTTTGCTAATAAGTGTTCACTGTCCACAAATCCATTCGAAAACTCTTAGTAAAAAAAGATGTTTTTCTTTTTACAATAGGGAGCAATAATCTGCTGGTTGAGATGATTAAATGGGAGAACACTTCTGCTTTAGTAAAGGATGGATCCAAACTTTAAAGCCTCTTTAAAAGCATCTTCAAGTTGCTTGTCTTATTCTTTTTATGCAGAATATTTTTAGCTTGTCTGATCCTAAAATATGATATCTTTACCTGATTGTCTAATAATGATTTTCTGTATTAATTTTTGAAAACTAGATTCTCCTGTAGTTTGATTTTGTGCCTTTTCTTGTTTGATGCAAAAAATTGCAAACCTTATTTCTCCTCAAAAAGGTCTTGAACCCTGATTTCTTTGACACCAGTATAAACTACTCTTGTGCAATAATCAATATCTCATAGATGACAATGCCAGTTTTGGGATAAGTCTAAATAAGCTCCAGCTTTTCATAAGTATTCTTCACCAAACCTTTACTTACATCCGTTTGTATTTTTGTAGAAATTGTAGAAATATGTTCCTATTGTAAAATGTTTTCTACTGCTCTTTTTTTCAACTTTTCCAAGAGGTGTAGTTCTCTGTTTTTATTAACATGATCAAAAATAAATTATAAAATCAATTATTAACTAATTTGAACTAAATTGTGTTGATATTCTGAGATAATTATTGTAATTGCAGCTTGTCCTAGAGTTGAGTTTTTGCAACAAAGACATTGGGAAAGCAATTAACTGCTTAATTTAATTAATTATTCAGACCTGACTTATTCTCTAAATAAGCCAAAATATCTTGAATGTCTTTCATAAAGAATTTGAAACGGTGTTATACATTTTTTTCTACTTTTAAGTCACTTAAACTATGTTTCTGAAATCATCCCAAGAGTGAGCTGGTTGCTCCAGCTTTTCTTTTGGCTCCAATAGCAACTGTCCTTCATTATGTCACGTTTTAAACTTTGTCATAAGCTTATTTCTTTTATAAGAAATGTCACTGGGTGTAATTCGGTCGAGACAAACGTCCCAGCAGTCCTAACCTAACCCTGAAGGATTTCTGAGACACAGCCAAGAGAAGATATTGAGGCTCAGATGAAATTAGGTTGTGTTAATATGCTGTGTCGTAAAGATGTCAAACAAATGGAGCAGATAAACTGCGAGAGGGGGCTGTGGGCAACCAGTTCAAGTGTAGTCAGCTCTGAAGCTGCTTGCACCGTGACAATTTAATAACCTCCAGTGTCACATGGTAGCAATCATCGTCTGTTGTTGTTGTAATTATCTCCAAACAGAACAGCTACTCTTTGCAAGTTAACTTGTTAGTAGTTGTACTTGAACTGATATCATTTAGTGTCTGATCCGTCTTTACTCTAAATGAGAGATCATCTTCCAGCTCAGATCAGTTCATTGTCATTCTTCTGTTCAAGGAAACTGTCAAACACTTCAGTTTGCTTTGTAAACATTCCAGTTCTTATGATCTACCCACTGATTTTTTTTCTTAAATAATTAAATTCTAAATGTTGACTTTTTTGTTCCACCTCCACACAGTATGAAGTTGTCTTGACTAGAAACAATTATCTGTTGAGTGTATGAAAGCTGAAATAATAGACTGTCCACCCCCTCACTGCTGCAAAGAGTAAATAAACAAGAAAACACTTATCAAATTTCTAAACCCGTCTTGATTATTGGAAGTCACTTCAGGGCTTTAAGAGAAGATAAAATGCATTGAAATTTATTAGATGCTTTTATAGGATGATATTTTGTAACGGCTGTGAAATGGAGTAAATGACTTAAAAATGTTTTCTGATAAAATACTAATTACGATTTGTGTCTAGCATCTAGAAAGAGCTATAATTATACCTATAGATCCCTTTAAGATATTTTACAGTATAGACATCCTTTTGGTTTTATAACTGATGTCCAGGAATCAGTTGTATAAACTACAATCTGTCTTGATAATGAAAACGATTCTTCTTCTTCCCTTTTCTCTCTTTTATACATTGAGATTATCAAGGTGAGCTCACTAAATACAAAGGCCAGTTTTCGTGTGATTTCATATATATATATATATATATATAAAAAAAAAAAAAAAAAAAAAAAAAAAAAAAAAAAAAAAAAAAAAAAAAAAAAAAAAAAGAAAACCCCCCAACCCCAACCAAACCCAATCAAAAAAAAAAAAAAATAAATCATCATCTTTTTGTCAATAAATATATTTTTGGGGAGGTCAATTTAAGTTTCAATGCTGACACTCAGCCCTGATAACCATTTGTCCTAAATATGAAGTAGGGTTAAAGATCACAAAAGGCAAAAAAAGGGAAAAAAAAAATCCTTCCCTTAATGAAAGAACTTTAAGAAAAGATGAGAATTGACCTCATTTTCATCCATGGTAGTTGCACATATTACAAAGCCAGTTTTAATGCTTTGGAAAATCTATTTTCTCTGAGTGAGAACCATTATCGACGAGCAGGGAAAACTTGGAACAAAGGTGAAGTTTTCCTGGGATAGGTTAACCAGTGAGCTGTGGCTTTATCCATTCCACAGGTGTATTTTTAAACCATTACCTGAACTTTCATGCATTTAATTGAACAATTTATTTCTGGCTGTCCATTCCTGTTTTAAAATGGACAAATGCAATTTAACCCCGGCACTTTGAGTAATCAATGGAGGAAAAAAAAAATAAAAAATTTTCTCCACAAAGAACAAAGTAGCAGATCTGCAATCAGAGTTGTCCTTATTTTGGAGGTTGGTGCTGAAGCAATGGAAAATGACCAGGCTAACCCAGCCCATCTTTTCTTCCTGCACCCCCACCTCTAAAGACAAGAAAATTACTCTCCATTACATCTCACTAAAGCAGTTTAGGCTTCGAATCCCACTGGCAGAATAAGCCTTTCCTTTAAGTGGGTATATGCACATGTGCAGCTTATTATTATAGAGCCGGTGCTGGACTATTAATCAATGACAGTAATTACCCACCTACCATAGCAGAAAGACTTCAAAAAACAATGTCTGCTATATCAATCTGGGAAAGACTTTGACTATTTGTCCTGTTGTTAGGTGGTTAGTCATCTGTTAGTGGTCAAAAGTAGCATTTGCGAGTCACTTATGTGGATGTGCACATTATTGCTTCATTACTTCTTTGTTTTTGAAGCTGTAGTTTCTGCTTAAAAAAGTAAAACAAACCTGTCAATAGGATTTAAATATAGGCTCATATAGGCCATTTTGTCTTAATTTAGAAGCTT